TTCGGTTTGTTTGTCTGTAATCTCTTCGGTCTTTGATCGAAGAGACCATAGTATGTATGTATATGAATACATATATACATATATATATACATATGTTGTCTGTATTTGTGTGTAAAAGTTCATTGTATTCCGTTACTACTGTTTAAATAAATCTATCTTTACATATTAAAAATTAAACTATCTTTATATTTATTAACTTTAAATAAATAACTATTTTAAATTATTAAAAATATTCTTATATTTAAAATTATGCTACTAACAGAGTGATTAATTTAAATATTTTTTGAAAATAAATTAATTAATTTGACACAAAATTAAAATATAAATAAAATTATACAAAAATAATAATAATTAATTTCAAAGAGACAAACCAGACTCTTCGTCGTCCTCGAGAGAATAAGTATAAATAAAGTAAAGAGTACAAATCAAACCGAACACTCCAATGAGTATCCAACAAAGAAGATTATTGCTTAATCCAAATGGTAATCCAGTTCCTTCGGTACTCGTCCTCTCATCCAATAAGGTCATGGTCGAACCAACTGTTACTATTGCTGTTGCTGTTGCTGTTACAATTATTGATTTAATCATATTGATTTTTGAGTCTTCTGTTAACCCTTTTTTCTCTAAAGTACACTTAACTCGGTCTTTTGTCGTAATTATAGACCTTCATACGATTACAGATAATAAAAATTATTATACACATTAAATTAAAGTAGAAAGCTATAATTTATTGTTTAATTATATAAGATATGAAGTTTGGTGGATCCATTTTTGAAGAAGAAGAAGAGCAAAAAGAGATTTAATATTGTAAAATTCAGATTTGTGATTTAAACACCAAATCTATGGATGGAAAAATTACAAATAGCCATAAATTTTATATCCTCAATCCTTGTATAAACCAATCACCACCCTCCACGTGGAAGCATTTAGATGACGTGTCATGGTTCATGTTATATACATATATGTATATATCTATAATATAATATAGGCCCTATAAAATTAAAACATATATTATTTTCTAGATGGGGGTCCATGTACAAAGTAAATGGGCTAAATCTTAGAGGGTCCATGTATTTAATTTTTGGGTTTATGATTATATAATTTTTTCAATATTATTTCTTTGAAATTATTAATAAATTTTTATTTTCCACCCTTTTACTTCATATGTATACATACTAAAATATTATATTCCAAATTTTAATTACTATCTTATATGTTAAGAAAATAAGATATAATTTTCTACCTTTCATTTTCTTATGATATGTTTGATTTTATTTTATTTTTTCTTAAAAAGTTATTTTATCCTATTTTATTAGTTAGCATTCATTGTATTTTTATATCTTTGACTTAATATATTTTTTTAGAAAAATAAGATAACAGTATATCAAATCATTTTGTTACATTTTAAATATAAAATCCAAGATAATAAATGGGTAAGTCAAAGTATGCGTGACTTTTTAAGTATAAAATCAAAAATAGAAATAGGGTAATTCAGACGTTGTACTAGTTTTTAAGTTTAAAATCCAAAATAATAA